GGAGCAGGGAACTGCAGCAGGATCAGGCTTTATTTAACTCTTATCCCAGTAACTCGCTCTGCTGCTGCAGTTCAAGGAGCTCCAGCCCTGTGCACGAAGACTCTGACACCAATTAGTCATTCATGCAAAACAAGATTTTTGTGCTTCAGTACAAACCATTTTCTGTGCAGTGTCAGACAGCAGTCACCTTCCCACGGGCCTGGGGGAGGCTTGGCTCATCCCATTGGGTGAATTTAAGGACTCATGGGGTAAAACTTCTAATTTAATTGGTAGTCTACCCTCAAAAGCCACTTTTTATTTATTGCAGTCAAAGAAACAGAGACAGAACACAGCCAGAGGGCATGACTGAAGTGGGTGGGAGAGAGACTGAAGGAGGGCACTGAGTGCTGTTCCTCAAGAAGGGATGATGTGGGGTAAAACCATGCCAGGTAATTAGAAAAGGTGATAAAATTATTAATTGGTGTCCTAGGGGGGTGCTGCATGTATTTACTAAGCATTTATTTTGGGGAGCTGCAGCTCCAGGGTGGTTCTTGGGGCAGGTGAACCTGGCAGAGTGGCTGGGCTCACCCCAGCCCCTCACCCAGGCACGGCTCTGAGGATCCAAGGCTCTGGAAAAGTTTCTCCACAGCCCACCAAGGTGTGATAACTGCATTAGGGACAGAGCAGCACCCAGAGGCACAGCCATTGCTGCCTGTGCTTTGCAAACACCACATTATCCTACCTAAAATCTGCATTTACTGAACCAACAGCAAACATTTATTTTAACAGATTTTTTTTCTGGCAGTCCTGCACTTGTGCTCACTGGGTGAACTTCCAGGCTCACAAATGCAGCTACATGATGAGAATCTCTCCAATGAATTAAAATAATTACTTTTCTAATTTGCCCCTAGACTCTGCTAAACCTTCTGGGGCCTCGAGGAAGGCATGAAATTCTTCTAATTTCTTCTACTTGTGTAGGCAAACATTTAAATTTATAAAATGAATAATTCTGTATTTAATCAGTGCAAAGGAAAATTCCACTTGGGGACAGGGACATCTCATGATGCTGCACAGGATGACTCCCCAGTGTGAGGAACGTGGCCATGGGAGAGCCTTTGTAGCTCTGGCCATCAGCAGTTTTGGTGATCCTGAACATCTCCCTCCCAAGGACTGAGAACATCAGCATCCATCAAAAGTACCATGCAAAGGCAACAGCCTTTGAGCCACCAAAATTCACCAGCATCAAGCCCAGCAAACCAGATCAGCCCCTGGGAAACTCAAAACGATTGTTTGGGAACTCCAGTGGTTTTTTGGAGCCAAATTCACACTGAATATGGGGATCCTGACAGAAAAGTGATGGTTTGTCAGGCTGGGGGCAGCTGAGGACCAGCAGATTTGTTCCTGGAGAATGAGGCTGCATTGTGCTTTAGTGCTTGAACCTGCCCAGCAGCCAACCTGTCACGTAGCACTTAAAAACTGGGGCTTAAGAGAGAGCACAAAAATGTTTGTGGGTCATACAGAAACTGAGGGTGAATAGAACTGTGTCTACAAAAAGATGCCCTGATTTTAAAATTTGCAAATTAGGAATCTACCCAGATATACACTAAATATGCATGACTTGCTTCTCTGGAGGAAGTGGAGAGGAGCAATTCTGTTCCAGAGCTGGCTGGATACACTCCTGCAGTGATGTCCTGTGGGACAGGTGTTGTAATGGATGCAAACAGTGATGCTGCACCAGGACTTGGCCCCTGCTTTGGAGGAGTTTCTAAATAATAAATATTTAATAGCAAATAATAAATAATAATATTAATAACAACTAAGAGGTCCAACATTCATTTGCAGTGTGCTACAAATAAGGTTAAAACTGCATATCTTCTATTTCTTTTAATTAACGGTAAGACAAAACAAGCTCAAATGTACCAAGAATGCCCAGACAGTTTTGTTTTGTAGAACAGAAATTTTCAGAAAGGTTTAAAATAAAAAGAACAGAAATAAAGTTTGGGCAAAGCTCTTTTTCCTGCAAGGTGACAAGCTGGGGCTCACTAGAGGGATCACAGCCTTTTCCTTCCCTGCCCTTTGTTTCCCATCAGTGGCAGTGGTGTTTTCCCCTGGCAGCAGGCTAAGGCCAAAATGCCAAAGCATCAAATGAAATTTTCAAACTTAAAACCTCAAAATAAACACACACACACAAAACAACAACAAAACCCCCCAAAAACCCCCAAACAAACAAACAAACAAACAAAAAGAAAAAAAAAAACCAAAAAAAAAAACCAACCAAAACAGTGAATACCATTTTCTTGCCAAAATGTAAAATAAGCCAACTACTTTGTTGCAGTGGACTTGTATCAATGATCTCAGCTACATCACTTTACACAAGTTTGGGTTCTTGCCTCTCACTGAAATAACTTCTTTCCTCTAAATCCTGCATGTGTGTTTCCCATGGGAAAGGTTTAGGTTGTTTTCCACCTGATGCTGCGCTGAAATTCTCCCATTTATGCTTCAGGCTTCCTGTCTGTAGGACAGCAGAGGAAATTTGGGTGAAGTTTGGAGGCATCCCTCCAGCCCGGCTCCCCAGAGTGCCTCCAGTCTAACATGGGATATTGAAGCAACTGTTTGCAAGTGGCCATAGAGGAACAACAACCTGCTGGTGTCCAAGCCTGCTGAGGTCTCATGGAAGGATGGCTATTTCCCATTCCAGCCTGGCAGTGAGAGATACCAACCAGTAAGTGTTCAGTCAAGACAAAATCTATATTTTTCTAATGCTGGTTGTTTCTTGGAAAGTTACACAAATCTTTTATGGCTGCTGGTGCTCAGACCAGTAAATATAGAATTCAATGATACAGTCGAATGCACAAACTTTATCAGTCTACCTACCTACACCAAAAAAATACACCTTTTTTTCCTTAGTTCTACTCTATTTTCTTTTTCCTGCTCTCGAGTTCAGCCCTGGATTTATCCCCCAGGCAGAACTGCTGTTTGCTCAGCGGGATGAGCCGAGAGAGGAGGACTTTGGAGAGATTCTTAGTTATGCAGGGAGGAATAAAACAACCCAAAAAACAAAGAAAGGGAAACATCCCAATTCTCTAGGTTACACTATTGGTTATATAACCAATCCCTCTGGTTATATTTACGCTCCTATAAATAGAGAATTGGCCAGAAAGAGCGGCCTGAAAAAACGACAAACGGCGTTGGGGCGCGGCGGCCGGCGGAGCGGGCGCGGGGCTCAGCACGGGGACGAGGACATCTGGTCGTAGTCGGGGCACTTGAGCAGGGCTGGGTAGTTACTGTTCATCTGCAGGGACGCCTCGCTGGAGATGTCCGAGGGGCTGCGGCCCCGCGCCCACGCGTCCGGGTGCAGGAACTGCCCCGAGTAGTCGGAGCAGTTGCTCAGGCGGGGCCGGTAGAAGCCAGGGTGGGGTCTGTACAGGTCCTCGGCCGTGTAGCGCTTCATGAACAGGTAGACAGACATCACCCCGGCACTCTGCGGGACAGAGACACGGCCTGAGGCCCTCCCCGCCCGCGGCTGCACCACCACCCCAACAGGGCAGCGCAGAAATCGCCTTTTTGTGCTGCGCTGATGCTCAAAAGCACCCGAGCGCCGTCACCTCCCTGCCCCGTGCCTGGGGTGTTGCAATGAATAACCTGGCACAACCACATGTCTCTTTTTGTGCCTGGCATCAGACTGTGATCAAATGTCCCATCAGTGCTCCAGGTTGGGATTGTCCCCCTCACATGTCCCCTTCATATTATACATTACCCCGCTACCCTCACAGCCCCCCCTTAAACCCTGTCTGAGCCCCCTTTTTGCCCACAGCCTCAGTCTGCCCACCCCTGGGAATGGGGTACACTTGTTACAGGGCGTGGGTACCTCTGTGAGAAGGAAGGAGATGGCAGAGAAGGCAAAGGACCACCCATATTTGTAATTGAAGAACGACTCCGAGTCTTTGGTCCTGTTGAGCATCTCATCGTTAATGCTGGATATGTAGAGGACCAGCCCCACCACCAGTGACAGACCTGGAGAAGGACAGTGGGAAATCCTTCAGGGATGAAGCTGCTGAAGAAGCACCTTCCTGAAGGCCTGGCTTTGAGGGAAAGTAAAAAAACTTGGGAGTGTGCTTGTATTAACTGGGAAAAGGAGCTGCCCTCCTGCTGTTCCAACCCAGGGCACTCCACTCATTCCAGCCAAACATTCCCTGCTCAGGGAAATCTGTGAGCACTGGGAGAAGAGATCTGGCTCCAGTGGGAGCTGCTTCAAAGCTCAGCTGTCACAGCTATTTGTTTAGCACTTGCACAACACCATGAATAAATCATTCACTTTTCTCATGCAGACACAGCCCAATTGAGCAGTTTGAAGTTTCAGATCTCTCCTGTGACTGATGTGCCATGAGACGTGTCCTCTCCCCCAGCACCTGCTCCTGCACGGGCTGGGGGGGCCTTTCCCCACATTTCCACAGAGCTCTGCATCCATCCCACGAGGTCTGATCAGGCTGTGGGACTGAGCTGGGAGTGATGAGTCTGACAAGGAGCCGCCAGGGCAGGTTAGGAGAGCAGCAGCAGCTACCAAAGCAAACGTGCTCCATGATCAAAAGCTGTCAGGAGAAAACCTGGCTTGCAGAACTCACCTGAGAGGATGAAGAATATCCCCGAGACGAAGGCCAGGATGGTCCTGTGAGGCCGGATGTGGCCGATGTTGCTCAGGATGAAGCCGATGAACATGAAGAAGAGGCTGACCAGAGGGAAGGGGGTGGCAGAGCGGATCATCTCTGTTGAGAGAGGAGCAGAGGGAAGTGAGAACAGCTTAATATTCCCTAAACAGTGTGAGAAATGTGCTTTGCTGGGTGAGACAGATCCAACCCTCCTGCTCAGACCATGTTGTGTCTGAATTTCTCTCCTTGCTAATGAGCTGGGTAAAACATAGAATTATGGAATCACAGTATGGTTTGAGTTGGAAGAGACCTTATGTTTCAGCTCTCTGCCATGGCAGGAATACCTTCCACTATTCCAGGTTGCTTCAGGCTCCATCCAGCCTGGCCTTGAACATTTTTAGGGATGGAGCATCCACAGACTCTCTGGGCAACCTGTGCCAGTGTCCCACCTCCATGGTGGTGACTCTGCTGATGTTTGCATTTCTGAGGGTTCCTGTGTGAAGTGTTGCATAGGAAACCATCAGAACCTGATTTTTTCTCTAGCTTCACTGTGTGTTTGCAAAACACTTCTATTTATTAATTCAGAAATGACTGCAGAATTCATCGTGAGAGCTGTGACACTCCATCCTCACTTCATCCTGCTATATAATGTGTAAAATTGCAAGGGAATAAATACAGCTGCAAATTTTGGAGAGGAGACTAAAAAGTCAAACACTTTGATAAACATTAGCGCTGAATAGCCAGTGACAGGAAACTGTACAGCTTAGAGCCTCCCTGGCCATCCTGCCATTAGAAAGGGATGTCCCCAAAAGCTTACAAGCACTCTGGGCAGGTCCCATAACAAAAAATGTAGTTGCATCATTGTGTGGCAGCGCTGTCGAGGAACTCAGAGCTTCTTTGGCAAGGACACAAAGGGGATTTCTTGGGGAGGATCCCTAGTGCTTGGGACTTGGTGATTTGCAGGATGTAAAGGGTGGAACCCCACCAAACCACTTACTTAGGACATTGATTGTGGATTCAGACGTCAGCTGGATGTTCATGGGCATGACGTATTCGATGGTGAAGCACCGGCCACGCTCCTCACCTGTGGCAGACACGGACAAAAATGTAACTTCTGAAGCCAGGGGCCATGTCAGAGCTCCTCACTTCTCCCCTGACTTTTCCAAAGCAGCTGAAACTTTGTGACATTTCAGGTTGGTCACTTTGAGATTCCTGTTCCCTTGGGTTCTATTCAACTCTGTCCTTGCAGCCAAGTTGCTTCATCAAACTTGGCACAGGCAGAGGGAATGGTCCTGCTGACCTGAATCTGAATTTTGCAGGGATGAAATGGAAAGTTTTTAGCTGCTGCCCAAGGCGTCGTGGCTGCAGCTCTGGAACAGGGCAGGGGGTCTGGCAGGGCAGCAGCAAACTCACCAAAGCCTATGTGCAAAGGCAGATTTATGCTTTGGGCTGTTAAAGTCAGGCATGAACAGATGACATTGCTTGCCAAAGGTTGTGCCTGAGTTTGGACTCAGGGATGGGCAGAGCCTCTAAAAATCCCATTATTCTTGGCTCTTTCCTGCCGGGTGGCAGTGACACACAAAAACCAAGGGGATGTTTTTGGCCAGGAGACCCTACCTGCCAGGAAGCAGACCCTCCAGAGCCCCGAGTGCAGCGAGAGCTTGATCTCGGCCGTCTGGTTTTGGGGCTGGACGATGCCCTCCTCCAGGTAGAGCCAGTAGTCGGTGCTGACGGAGATGCCCAGGAGGCCGAGGCCGCAGACGGCGAACACGCTGCTGAGCAGGGTCAGCGCCTTCCTGCTGCAGGCGCTCATCGCCACCGGCACCGGCGGCGCCGCGAGGAGCTGCCAAGCCCTGGACACGACAGAACAGTCACTGACACACCAGC